AGGACATCTAATATCCCTGATTGCCACCAATTAAAGGCTGGTAGTGCCCCTAATCAATATGACAACCAAAAAATGTCTTTGGAGTTCCAAAATGGTATAATAGTTAAGGTGAAATTTGCAATATCTCACAACTATTCTGTTGATGTATTTAAACCATTATTGTATCACATCCCTAAAAAATGTGTTTAAATTATACCAAAATTTGAAATGTATACATTTTTAAATCAGTATCAAATACTCCTGGTTTACTTACCAGATTCAAATGTTTCTTCATCTATGGTTTTCCGTGGAGGCAAAAAAACAAAAAGTGTCATTATATTTCTGTCCATACTGAGTCTGTAATTTAACAGTCTCATTCCCTGACCCTATGCTTTTGCATACACACCAATTTTAAAATTTCTCCTAAATCAAGGCCAAGCCAGTGGTGTCTCTATGGCATATATAAACCTTAAATGAGATGCATGATATTAAGCCATTGGGCCATGATGACAAGCAGAGGGTGCTACAGGAGCTTAAAATAAATAAATAATGAAATAGGAGAGAGAGAATAAATTAAATAAAGAAGGCTCAAAGGGAAGGGAAAGGTGGAATGTCACGGAAGCTCCTGCAGACTGTTGGACATTGTATGGCTTTGCTGCTAGAGGGCCTGCAGGTGTGGAAGGGAGGTGCCCTGCCACAAGATTTAGGGGTCCATAAGCCAGGGAAGTGTGGCAAGGAGAGTGAGTATATGAATGCTTTGACTGGGTAGGCTTGTTTAGGTGGCTGGAAAAGATTCAATATAAACCAACATATCATCAGTTAAAACAATTCTTGTTAGCATTTTAAAGAGATATTAAGGATTAAGAAACTAGAATTCACATAGAGAGCAACTTGAAATATATAGCAACATTACCAATGCACTCATCCTTGGATCAGGCAATGCTGCATCTAAGGTATACTCATACATGAGTGAAATGATAAATTTATAAAGCTATTAATTGTAGCATTATCATAAAAAAGATTGGACATAACTCAAACATCCACTAATAAGTGATTGTGTAAGTACATAATACCTTATTTAGCCAATAAGCATTTTTTAAAAAATCAGAAGTCTCTTTATGTATTTAGATGGAATCATCTTCAAGATATATAATGTTAAGTAAAAAAACCAGGAACAGAACAGTTTGTTTAGTGTACTGTCAAAGGGTATGTGTATTTTGTTTTTTTAAAAAAAGGTGAAGATGAGGGTAGGAGAGAGGAAAAGAATATACATCATGGCTTTTATCTATACAGAATATGTCTGAGATTATATTTATGCCTCAAGAAAGAAAACTGAATAAGGCAACAGGGAAAAAGAGGAACTTTTTACCGAATGTAGTTTTGTAGTTTCTAATTTGAAATATATAAATGTATTGTGTAATAAAAATTTTAATTCAAATTACAGAAAAGAAATGACTATTACTGCAAGGTTTTTAAAAAACAGAATGTATACTGGGAAAAATAAATATAACATTAGCATTATTCTGTAGTTATTCTGGGAAATATATGTGAATCTTTGAAATATCCACTATTTAAAGATTTCATATTATTCTTTAGTTTCTAAAAACTAGATTAGTTCATTGTTAAAAATAAGACAACAGTCCCAAAATAGAGTCACTTATGCTAAGCCCCACATCACCAAACTTAGACTTAATTTAATTAATTTTGATCTCTTCTGCCTGAAGAGATCTTTTCCTAAAGGAAAGTGATCTTGTCACAACCAAGCAGATTTTTGCTGTTCCCACTCCCTTCTGCCTATAAACGCCTTTCATTTTGTACAGCTCCTCAGAGTTCCTTTTTATCTGGTTGATGAGATGCTGCCTGATTCATGAATCATTGAATAAAGCCAATAATAAGATCTTTAAAAGTTCCTTGGTTGAATTTTGTTTTTTAGTGCCATAAAGCCAAGACAAATTCACCTATCAGACCAAAGCCTGTCCAACTAGTGTCCCAACAAAACCTAGTGATTCTTGAGCCAGTCTTAGTTCTATACCTAAATAGGAAAAATGTTTTCCCAATTTACAAAAAAATTTAAGTATAGAAATGTACAAAGTTCATGTTGCTACTATTTATCTATACTAGAATCTACCAGAAGATGGCATCAGACAATAACAAAACACATATTTTGCTTTTTAAAAATTTGATATCTCAGTATTTTATATTTCACAGAGAGCATGGGGGTTTGCAGATGTTCCACCTGAATGTTACTGAATGTAACACCTGAATGTTACTTAAGAGTTGCTGTGATCATTTCCAAGATACCGCTTTCTAGAAGGCTGCTTTGGAGCCTGGAGACACTCCCATAGCTGTGCTTCCCTTCCAAGTGTCAGAACCACAGAAAAAGGATAGGGTGGCGGAATTCGTTTTACACATTGCTTCCAGAGGAGAGGTTTGTGGCCCCTTTGGCCAACTCTGTCTCAGAGGCTGCATAGCTGAGGTGCTTCCTATTTCTTCTGATGGTAAATCTATCAAGAGGAAATGTTACCTGCTTCCACACATTTCTCATCAATCTTCATGTCATCTTCTATAAAAGAACATAGAAAGAGGAAAAAAAGGATTTAAAATGTGTTAGCATCACAAACAAAATTCCCTAGGTATAGACTTAAAATTCAATAAAATTCGGACCATCTTATAATAATGATATCCTTACAACTATTGCTCACTCGGAGAGATAAAAAGGACTCTAGCGCATTAAATAAAAATATACAATTATGAGACACTATATAAGATAAAATGGGTGGAACTTAAAACACATAGGCTTTTGATTGTTGGACAAATTAATTTACCTCTAAGCCTCAGTTTTATATCTCTAAATGGGGATGGTAATAATACATACAGTATAAGGTAGAAAAAGTGAGATAATGCATGAAAAGCTCAGGCGCATGGTAAGTGCTCGATAAATGTTAACTATTTTTATCTCTAGCTTGGGCATATATAAGAGAATAAAAGAAGCTAACGTTTAAAACCATTCATCCTAATACTCAAAAACCCTTTCATCATGACCCAAGCCCAACTTTAAAGGTTACTGTCCACTTCTCTGCTTCACATGTCTTATACTCCCATCAGAGTAGACGTTATTGGTTCTTCCTCTGTGCTTTTGCTTATGCTGCTCCTTTTGCCTATAATGCTTCAAGGTCCATCTCAAAAACTAGTCAAAAATGAATATCCCTGTCATGAACTGAATAACATTTTCTTCCTACGACTTTGAACTCTCCGCTACTGCATATCTATGGTATCTTGTAATATGATCATCTGGGTGTTTGCCTTATTTACCCTCCTAGACAGTTCCTTGAAAGCAAAAACTGTCTTATTAATTTTCACATACTTTACAGAGTTTAGTACAGTGTCCTGCACACAGTAGGTACATGATAAATTATTTCTTAAATTGAATTAAATTTTCCTTTTAATATCAAAATAAGTTATTTGAATATATATTCTGAAAAGATCTTTTTCTTTTAGCTCTGTACATCTTGTGCCTAGCACAGTGACCAGAACTTCCTGGGTGATGAATAAATAGTAGTTGAATAAATAAATCTTACACAAGTTCCAAAAGTACAAAATTATAGTCTGCAAATAAGCTATACTATCAGAAAGTAGTACTTACCACTACCTCCTAAACGAGCATATCATTAATGTTTTTAAATAAAATATAAAAATTTTTATGAAATAATATTGTTTTATAGAAGTAGGGACACAGATAAACATGTAATATAGCTGAGATTTTCAACATTGTCATGCAATTCTTTATATTCATTTAGAGGTTATTTTCCAGATCAGTAATTTATAACAACAGTGGATTCATTAGTTCCTAAGACATAACTAGAGGTCTATCTTTTGTTTGTTTGTTTGTTTGTTTTAAGGCAAACAAAAGCTACAATTTTCATTCCTGTTTTACAGAGGCCAGGAGTGATTCTCCAGTGATTTTTCAAACTTGTAATTCTGGGATCTAAAAGAGCCATTGATTTTACTCTCTCAAAATCAACAATTCTGCACTGTTGGCTAGAGTGGCTATTACAGACTGATTTGTGTCCCCCGCCCGACCTACCCGCTTCCAGGTTCATATGTTGAAGTCCTAACCCTATTGGAGATGGGCCTTTAAGAGGGTAATTAAGGTTAAGTGAGCTCTTAACTTTGGAGCTTTAATCCAAAAAAGACTGGTGGCCTTATAAAAAGAAGAGAAATCACCGAATCTCTCTCTCTTGATCTTTTCGTCTCTCTGCACATTCACAGAGGGGAGGCCACATGAGCACACAGGGGAAAGTGGCCATCTGCAAGCCAGGAAGAGGACCTCACCAGAAACCAGCCCTGCCAGAGCCTTGATCCTGAACTTCTAGCCTCTGGAACTGTGAGAAAATAAATAAATATCTGTTGTTTAAGCCATCCAATCTGGGATATCTTGTATGGCAGCCGGAGCATATTAAGACAGTGGGGCTTGTTACCACCAAGACCGCAGAGACTCAGTCCTCTACCTCCTGCCCTGTCCAGTATCAGGGATGGAATGGGGCTGGTGGCTAAAAGGGCTGCTCTTCTTTCTTCCACCCCCGCCCCCCCCCTACATGGGCAGATGGCATCTTTCTTGCTCGCTTTTGTGAGTGTGCGTGTTTGACATCATAATGAGTCATCTGGGTGTCTGTGTTTGGAGAAGGGGAGAGGTGATCATTGGGGGTCCCATTTGCCCTTGAGATAGAAGCTGCAAATAGTCTGGACTTAGAAATCCAGACTATACTGCTTGCAACTACTAACAATGTTCGTATCTCTTTTGTACCTCAATCTTTTCATCCATAAAATGGTGACAATCACAATTTCTTCACAAGGTTATTTTTAAGACAGTGTGTAGAAAGCAGTTGACACGAAAAGGTAGATCAGTTTCACAACTTTGAGTTCTTACCATGTGCTGTGTTAGACTCTGGAAATGCACACTGCGAATGTTAGTTCTCTTTTGCTTTATTCCTCTCGGTGTCAGGACAGTTACACTGGGAGTGTGTTCCTGTGACTGACATTTTTTACCAATTAGAGTATTTGTAATTAGCACATTCCTAGGTTATATATGAAGAGCTTAATAAATAGCTGAATTGAATCGATAGAAAAGAACGACAGGAAATTTCTAGGAGACTTTGGGGATGAAGGTTTTTTCCAAATACTATTTCTTACCTTCTTCCATGGAAATCACTGGGTACAGACAAATGATTGAAGCAGAAAAAGAACGGGTGAGGAATCACATATATTAGTCTATGCTCGGTTTTTCAGATTAACTTACTTACAATAAGAAAAGAAAAGTGCCAAAGTTATACTAATTAGTGTTCTTGTGCTTACTCTCTAGAAATTTATTTAAAAATTTAATAACAAAATGGTAAGTGAATATCCTACAGAAACTAATATATTTATGAGCCTTGCTGGAAATGAGGATCTACTTTCTTCTGGTAAATCCTACTTGTTTCCATCCCATTAGGCTATAAAAGTTTGCATTCTACTCCCTTCTGAATTAATATGCTGAGTTCAGCATATTTTAGGAACTCCTATCTCGACTGGAAGAAAGGAAAGAAGGAAGAAAGAAGAAAAAAAAGAAAAGGAAAAGAGGGATGATAAGTATAAGTGCATCTTCAGTAAATAATTTTTTAATAACCATCTGCAAACTAACATAGACTTGGAATTTTTCAATAACCCTTGATTAATAAAAATGCCTAAACCCTCTGGACTCAGAGATTTTTTCCCTCTTAAGGTAACATTTAAGCAGAGTAGGAAGATGCAAAATAATATTTATTACAGAATCATCTATCGCAGTTAAAAAGAAAAGAAATGAACTTCTAGTTTAGAAAATGCTCGTGCTCCATCCCTGTGAGGGATGACCATTTAAGTCAGTGGCTCCAACCCTGGAATTCCTGGACTTAGAAATTTGTGACAATAATAGCAATATCTGCAAGCTAATTACAAGATGGACTTTTCAAAAACTCTAATATAAATTGCACTTAGGTTACATGAGCAAATTAAATATCAACCAGTGGTCATACTAGTTATCAGACACTGATTAGAAGCTTATTAGCATTTCCATGTGCCTTTGAGAAATGAAATAGAAAAATGAATTAAAGAAGTATTTCAATCTGGTTTGGTAAACTTTTTCAAAACACAAGGAAAATAACTAAAATATTACTATGAAGAGAATACATTAAAAATGTTTCTGATAAAAAGTTGTTAAAAATAAAGATAACAAGTGATATTGCAACTGTTACTGTAAACATGTAAAATATGTTTTCACAACCGGAAGGCAATATGAAAATATTGCCAGTGTCAAGAATTATAAGAGTGTTTTCTTCTTTCAAAAATATATCTACTGTTGTCATCTTTTCAAGAGAAAGAGAAAAGAAAAAATAATTTTTGGCTTAAGAGAAATGAGAAATAAAGCGAGTGAGGACTTGCTGTGGGCAGACCTGTGACACTGATACTGTTGTCTACTCTAGTGACCCTCTCCCGCCTCCTAGGGTCCATTCCCTTCATCAGCTTTCCAGGGGCCTGCCTGAGGTCCATTTCTGAAGGGCCTTCCTTACTCGGTGGATGCCAGCTGAGCTCCTCAGCACTCTTTATTAAGGCAGGAAGGGAGTTCACAAGCATTGCCACTACAGCTCCCTTTACTAACCATTCCCCCCACTGCCGTTTGAATAATACTGTCTAGCAAACAAACTATGTCCATTAACTAATAATTCAGTCCTATGTTTATTCATCAAAGGCACACACAGCTGTTAGTCAGAGCTTCTGAACAGTGTGAAATTTAACCCCTCTAAAGAGAACCCAGATGAATTCTTCTATGAAGCTATGCAGACTTGCTTGACAGAATGTGTATGTATTTGTTAGCTGTAGAGATCTCATAGGACTTCAAGCTGGTGAGTGATCACTGAAGGTGTCACCAACACAAGATCATGTGCATTTTCATAAACTGAGAACTCTTCTAAATCCAAAGGGATGAATGTCTATGGTAGGATTTCAGATGGCTGCTAGGTTATTTGGGGCAGTAGGGACACTTAAAGATTCTTTCTGGGACAGGAAGCCAGCCCTGGGAGAGAAGGAACCAGTTTCCCCATGATGCACGTGCTGGGTTTGAGGTAGCAGCACACTCACAGGTGGTTGATTTGAGGTGGGTGTGAGGCTGGTACGGTTGAGACCACCAGAACTCACGTTGCTTCCTAGGCAAAAAGAAATACACTGTGAGGAAAAAAAAAATCAACCTAGATGAATGAAGCCAGGTGAAAGAGATCTAGGACAGAATTTTCCTAGAATTCTGATGCCTCCAACCCAAGTGAAAAAAAGATTTCTTCTCCAAACACATTGTCAAATACATTCTCTAAATACACAGCCTTTCTTATTTTTTTCTGCCTCCTGGGTTATTGTCAGAAACACACTGACTTGAGAGTGGAAATCTGGCCCATGACCACCGGTTCATGGGCCACAGACTTCGTGAGAGGAGCCGTGGTAAGCTGCCCCTCCAGCACGCTACCCTGCTTCAGCTGGGCTCAGAATTTTCACAGCATGTTCTGGATCCCCTCCCAAGCTTTGGATGCCCTCTACAGTTTCCTGAGAACCACGTGAATTTCATCTCCTTCTATTGTTTTTTATTTGTGTGCTAATCCAATAAATTTGCCATTTCCGTGTGCTTCTTGCAAGATCCCCACCAGAGCCTGCCTCCTCACCACTTTCTGCCCTGAGACCACTATGGCTAATCTCATTAGGCCTTTAGCAGCCTGTTTGTGTCCTCAGCCCTCAAAGCTCAGGTCATCCCTTATCCTCTGTACTTTAATCCCTGTAAGACTCTGTCCACCACCCGCCCCTCCCTGAAGTCCTTTCACACACACCCTGGAACTCGAAGTAAACCAGCAAAATCTCTCAGACCTCAGCCTCTACCTTGAGTGAGCCCTTCACATTCTAGTTCTAATCAAAACCCGGGTGTCCTGAGGCCACTGCTTTCCCTGCCCCTTCCAGGATGAGGCTCTTTGCTCTCCCACTCCCACTGGGTGCTGGTAAAGTGGCTCTGGGGGCCAGGGAGCCCTATGCGTAGCTTTTGCTGATTTCCCTAGTGTCAGTACTCTCATTGTGGCTGATTTCAAGCTGCCACCCTGACCTCACTGACTGTGGATGTGAGAAGCACGCACAGTGGGCTCTGTTAGCGTATTCCAGCATCCCACGTTCAGGGCCTTCATCCCACTGGTCTGGAGGTGAGGTCTGTGTCCTTGTTCCTCATGGCCATCTACAGACCATTCTCCCTCTTCCCTAGAAGTGACTACCATTGCCCCTACTCTTCTGCTAGCCAGTCCCAGATGACTCCTGCTCACTCTCTCTCTCTCCACACTGCTCTGTCATAATTCTCGATGATTTTATTAGGCATACAAATGCCCCTTCTAACACCCTGGCCTCTTGGTTCCTCGATCCCCTCTCTTCCAATGACCTTCCCCTCATGCTACCTCAGCCGTTGCCTCTCACTGTCGTGCCCTAGACCTTTCCAGAAATAATAGCTGCAATCTCTCCATACTTGCAATTCCCAGCATCCTTTTCTTTTACTGGCACCTACCTTTCCAACCCCCCAAATCTGTTGACCCCATAGAATTTATAATCCATTGATTTTATTCCATTTCCACTGATCCTTACCTCTTCACCTCCCCGCTTAATGGCTTAAATGTCATGTTCCTTCAAAACAGTCACTCCCTTGGCTTTTCCTTGATTTACTGTTAAATCCAGCTCTCTTTCAAATCTGGACCTGCCCCCAAGGAATCTGACCAAAATCATTTCAAATTTATCACTTTTAACCTTAAGGGGGACCCTAATACTGATCCTACTGTATTTACCTAATCCATTTGCTCTCCAGTTCTAGAAACTCTTCAAGCTTTCTCCTCTCTCCTTCCCAGTACCTCCTTACCCACGCTTACTCTCAGCTTATGACATTGCTTCCTATTTCACTGAGAAAATAAGAATAGTTGAAAGAGAACTTACATAAGCTCCACCATGCCCCTCACCCTCAGCCTCAACTATGCCACATACTCTGGATTCCCAATGTTACCATCACTGTAGACCAGTGGTCCCCAACCTTCGTGGCACCAGGCACTGGTGCTCCTATGAGAATCTAATGCCTGATGATCTGAGGTGGAGCTGAGGCGGTGATGCTGGCACTGGGAGCGGCTGCAAATATAGATGAAGCTTCGCTTGCTCGCCTGCTGCTCACCTCCTGCTGTGTGGCCCATTTTCTAAAAGGCCACTGACTGGTACTGGTCCACAGCCCGAGGTTTGGGGGGTCCCTGCTGTAGGTGAACTGTTTATGATCCTATATAAGGCCAACCCCTCTATTTGTACACTAGATCATACCTCCTTCTGCCTGCTCAAGGCAATTCTCTTCTCCTACGCCACAAAAGATTTTCCTCTTACTGGATTATTACCACTAGCATTATTTACTCTATCTAAAACATTTTTTCTCATACTATTCCACTTTCCCCTCTTCATTGTTCTGTTCTGCTTTATATGAAAACATCTCAAAGAGCTTTCCATGCTCATTGTCATCAATTTCTTCAAATTTCACTCTACGAGAAACTGGGCTCCACCCTTCCACTGAAATCACTTTTATCAGGGTCCATATTGCTAAACCCAGTTGCCAGTTCTCGGTACTTCTGGCAGCAACTGACGCAGATGATCAGGACACCATATTGTCTTGATTTTCATTCTGTCTCACTGGTCATTTCTTCTCAATCTCCTTTGCTAGTTCCTTTTCTTCTTGATCTCTTAGCATTGGCCAAGGATTGGACCTCTTTCTATCTTGTTATCTTTACTCACTCCCTTAGACCTCCAGTCTCACAGAAGTGAGGATGGTAGATTGAGATTCAGTAACTGGGGTTACAACTCAGTTTTGAAAGATTAATAGAGGGAGTTAGAACTACCATGTTAAGTTGAATTTAGTGTCCCATGTGTTTTCTCTCTCTTCTAGCTGATATAATTATTCTGATATCGTTGGTATTTAAGATGCTTAGGGCATATGGATAGGTCGATATTTGGATTTATAAACCAGCGTGTGTGTTCATCCATCTGCTTCTCTCTCCATATCCCATCTTAACGGCAATGACAGAAGCCTGAGAACACATTTCATTTCCTGATGGCTTAGTCCTGAGTCCAGGAGTGATAACTTTTCTTACCTCTTCATAAGGTGGTTAGAAGGGATTAGACCAGCACAGGTACCAAGGTCTGAGATTTTCCGGGCCTGCCACCAGAGGGCATCATTCTGGTCCACAATCTGGAGGATGTCCCCCTTCTGGAAGGGTAACCCGGCATCCACGCATGGGATGGTAGGATCCTCCTGGGGCCAGTACTCGGTCATGGCACGAACGTACACCTGACAGTAGGTGCATAATGGCACCATCAGAAGAACCTTTGCCCATGGGCCATCAGGACTCAAAACCATTTCTCCCACTCCTCCGCCTCCTGTTTCTATCCTTCCTCTTCACCCCCACAAAAAGGAGAACTTGCCTCTTGAACTGAGTCTCAGAGCTATGAAAAGTACTTAGAAAAAGAATCTCTTAGTTCTGTGAAGTTTTTACTCAAATGTTCACCATTCTTGATGTTACTTTTTAACTTCTTGGTACCCCATCTCCTTTTTTTGCATTCATTTACTCATTTGCCTCTCACGTTATCAATATTGAAAAATGTACACCAAAGTATTGAACAAACGTTCAAGATGTTATAGAGAACAGGAGTATGATACAAAGTATTTAGTCACTGGTATTGTTATTTGAGGATTTACCGTGTGTGAGTACGGAGGCTTAGTAAATTCTTACCATCTTCTGGTTATTAACAGGAGGGTCAGAAACTGGAACCACCTTAAACATGATTGTGCCGCGAGACATAGCCTAGAAAATGTCAAAGGGGGAAGAATGACAAATCGCAGAGCCCATCGGGTTACTGGGGTTCAGCACAAGGAGTTATAACTCAGTGTGTCCAGGTCTAACAGTGACATCTCACTGGGAATTTACAAGGGTTCCACAGCTGACTATCACCACCCAGAAATGGAAAACAGGAAAGAGGAAGAAATTTAGGCTTCTGCCCCGCTGTGGGGCTCCAGAGTCACCAGCCTGCTAAAATCTGCACTGAGTCCTGGCCTTTCCCTGGACCCTCTATCTTGCTGACACCAAAACCACCCCACTAAACAAGGTCTTCTTCCTACAGGCATGGGGGAGGAAATGAGCTCTTGGTCTGACTTTCTTTCGTCATGCCTAAGGCAGTAATTTTTTCCTGAACACCTGTTTCTGCACCACACAGCCCAGACTGATAGGGAAAAATGAGGGGCTCCCAAGTCTTCTGGGGGGACTGAAAAGCTTCCAAGCTGATGGTGGAATGGGAGGGCCCCAGTCTTTGGAGGAGACAGAGAACCTCTCATCCTGATTTGGGAAGTAAGAATCCTCCTGTTGCATGTACTGTCACAGGCATTGGAGATCCAGAGATTAACAAAATCTGTTCTCACTTTTAGAAATGTCACCATTCATTGTCCTGTCAATTCCACCAGAAGGACTGAGGCGGAGGCAAATGTGTCTATGAATAACAGTGCTCTAAGGTCCCTTTGCAGTATATTGTATACCGCACAGAATCTTAAGGCAGTGGTTTGCAAAATATTTAGGTGCTTGGTATACACCTTATAGTATCACCACTCATCTAAATCCTTGAGGCATATGAAAATCTAGAATTTCTCCCAAGAACCTAGTTTGAGAGCCCCTAGTCTACATGATATACACTTGGGGTGTGCCTGGGGAAAGGTGGGTAGGGGCATGCTACTGTGCTACTGAAAGCTGGACGGTGTGATTCAGGCAATACTTTGAAGGATGGGAATGGGGACCTAACAGAGATCAAAGGCTCACATAATCAGGCCAGAAATGCTAGTTCAAACCACCAAGGAGAATGTCAGGGCCAGCAAGGATGCCTCCCTCCCCATAAGCTGCCCTCAAAACTGCCTCAAGGATAATGTTCCGCAGATTGCAGCTGTACAAAAATGTTCAGGAAGCAAGGGGTGGTTTGCTCAGGTTCAGACTCTCCTCCACAGTCTCACTCTGCCCACCTGGGCTCAGTTTCCAATGGAGCAACCCGGGTGGTGAGGGGCCTGAGCAGGGAACCAGGCAGCCTTCTTGAGGCAGAAAGAGCAGCTTGGGAAGGGAAATCTCCCAGCAGGGGCCAGACTTCTGATGGGCCACACAGAAACAGACAAGGTCAGGGGCCTGGAGAGAGGAAGCTGCCAAGAGGGACCAAACCCTCCTCTCATTACAGAGCACACACCATGAGCTGGACAGGCCCAGTTCAGCCTTGCATTTTACTGAGTCAGGAAGAAGGCAAAGAGGAGACTGTTACCAGAATATGGATCACTTGCTCGGGGTCCAATCCCTCAACTGAAACTCCGTTCACTTCCACTAATTTGTCTCCAGCATATAACAACCCTAGGCAAACGGGAACACAAAACAAAGAAGGGTATAAAGAAATTGGCAAAAAATAGAGGTAGCTATCCCAAAGCTATTTATCAAACTTTCTAACCCTAACATTTTACAATTTATTGTGAAATCATCATCATCATCATCAATCATCATCATCATCGTCATCGTCATTGTCATCATCACAATAATTATAAAGTAAACTGCTTATTCTAATTTACACCATCACCGAAGTGCATGAGAATTGCATTTTTTCCACCTTTTCACCAACACTGGGTATTAACCAATGGCGATGTTTTTATTTTCATTAATCTGATGTTGTAACGTGGAGCTGGGACACGGGTAAGAAGATAACACTAAAAATAAAGATGTCAGGGTTGTGAAGAAATGATACGCGAAAAGGAAAGTGGGGCATATTTCAAAAGAGAAACTGTGGAGAAACTGGGGTTAAGATTAAGCCTTGAGAAGTATGAGGCAAAACCGTGGAGCCTGGGGGACAAGAAGCAGAATGGTGTCGTGCATGGGACAGAAGCCAAGCATGACGAAAATTTCAAGAAAGGTAAAGCCGACAACATCAAACATGCCAGAGGAGTAGAAATAAAACTGAGGCCGGAAGAAGGGCCCATAGACTTAGCAAGGAGGAAATCCTTGGGGCAATTACTCTAAGAATGTGGGGGTAAAACTCTGTGCCAGGCTTCCACGGCCATGCACAGTGAGGACAGGGGCGGCAGGTACGGAACTGTTCATTTCAGAAGCTCCGCGGTGAAAGGAAGGAAATCCAGTTCCCTGGTAGAAAGGGCCAGCGAAAGGCATCTCAGATGAAGTGCTGTGCCTTTTGGAAAGCAGAAGGACCAAGTGAAGAATGAAAGTTGGGAACACAGAGTAAGGCTGACCTGGACTTGAATCCTGACTCAAACCGTGTAACCTTGAGCAAGTTAGCTCTTTAATCTCTTTAAGCCTCAGTTTCCTCATCTATAAAATGGCAATGATAACGCTTACCTTGTTGGGTTGCTATGAGAATATAAACTGAGAGAACATTAATACGGTGCCTAGAACAGAGGGACTCAATGAAGGAGGGAAACAGGATTTCTCTGGAATATTTATTCCTTCCTTCTTAGTAACGAAGAAATGGAACTTAATAAAGCCCTGACCTTAGTTAGGAATGGGGGGGTCTCCCTGGAAAGAAGACTAAATAATCAACGGTTTCCTGTGTTTGGGTCCCACTTGTACCCTGCTGCTCCAGCTTACCACTCCTCTCAGCCAGCCCGCCATGAATGACTCTGGCCACCAAGATGTCCCCTGTCATCTCATGGCGCTTGATGGTCGCTCCCTGGGGAGAGAGTACAGTGGAATCCCTCTTTTAGCTTGCATGATTTTTTTTCTGGTGGCTTCTCAATGCAGCTCTGGTCTTTCAGATGAGGGTATTCGTACTAAGGAGGGCTATACCATGCCATCAAAAAAAAAAAAGGCCACTCGACCTTGGACTCCTGAGATCTCTACCTAACCATGCAGACATAAAAGAATATTTAGATCCTTTCAAAGATAAAGAAAGCTCCCACAATTACAACTTAATCCAAAGGACTTCTTAGAAAATCAAATGAATGCCTTACTTAGCTTCCCATTAATGGAGGGAAAAAAAACCCTACACAAATACATTAGAATTGAGTGAAATATATGTATGTGCCAGACAGTTAAATAGTAAAACAAAATATATGCCTTGTATCTCACAGCTCTTTTAAAAAAGTAAAACACTAAACAGAAATCTTTCCTAGTGAAAACATTACAACATGTAATGTGTTTGAAAACACAGGCAAAAATCATTAAGATACAGTTTAGTCATTATTATCATGGCTTCTAAATGCCTCAAACTATATCTGTGACCGCAGACAAGAATATCGCCCAAGTAACTACTAGAAATGACTTAGTTTGCAACTAATCCTGGCATAATTCTAAATAAAATAATTTTCTTACCAGGGGCTGTTGGTTTTTCACCAAACAAACAATCCTCATTGCTTCTTCACTCTCAGGGATATTGTCAGGCAGTGGGGGGAGAGGGGGTTCGAAATCTTTCTGAGCCACAGTGTCATGGGCACTGAGCAAGGCCTGGGGACAGCGAAGGAAAAGGTGAACAAATGTCACACATAAGACTAACCCCCTAGAAGATAGTGATTTGATACTATATATAAGACACAACAACAACAACCAACACGTACAGGCACAGTTCTAAGAATTGTATGAGGACAACTCTATGAGGCAGACATATTTATTACCCCCCATTTTACATATAAAGAAATGAGACACATAGAGGTTAAGCAATACATAATATATTCTTTCATTTCTGCTAAAATGTATTATTCTGTCACTTTTTCATTTCCTGGAAACTCATTTAATCTATGGTGTTCCTATGATCTTGAACTAAAAAACAGTTTTTCTAATATTTCCCCTAATTAAGGCAGAATAGAGGGGCAGTAATCAAAACATCTTGCTAGTTTGATATGCCAGTAACAACCAAGGGCCCATGTTGAACAGAAACACTAGTTCCCTGGTTTAAGGTATGATCAAAGAGCTACTTTAATGACCCACTATGTTAAACTTTCCATTTTAGGAGGTAAAGAAGTAATCATTCTATAGCCCTGCCTGAGGTTGGTGGGCAGAACTTGGTTGAAACTCAGAGAAAATTCTCTGGGGTTATCGTGTAAACTAGAATTTTTGATTCATAAATTTCATTGCTCCAAATGCAGACATTCTCTTAAAATTTTAATTTATTGATAAACTGATTTCAAAATCTGTAGGTACTAAGAGGTAGGCTCCTATTCTGCCATCAAATGTTCTTCATATGCCCTCCTCCCCCACAGAGCTAATCATCATTATACTGTATTTTCCAAATACCTTCACACACTTTATCTAAAACTTAAAACATTCCCAAAATGGAAAAGAAAGATGCTACTCTGATTGCCCCAGAATTTTAGAGGGAGGAAATAGGACACCATGGAAAGTTCTGGATGTGTCATAAATATGTCAGGTTTGACTCCATGACTGACAACATGGAGCCAGTCACATCTGAGTCCCATATTTTTCAATACAAACTGTTGGTCACCCATGTTGGGTAATAGAATATCTATTTAGAGAGCATCTTTTCTGTCATGTTTCTTTCTTCTTTTCCACTTTGTCTGTGTGCCAGATGGCATATTTTGTCTATTTTAGAAGCACTTACCTTAAAGTGTGGAGCCTGGAGGATCTGTCTCAGCTCTCGGATCTCAGGGGAACTAGGGCTTGCATGCAATATCTCTACTACCTGGTTGATGAAAAAGCATAGATTGTGAAATTTTGAAAAATCTTCATCACCTAGTTAACCTCACTCGGGATGGATAACGGATATATTGACTAGCATTCTATTGACCTGAGAAAAGCTGTTATTGAAGCTTTCTTTTTTCATTTTTAAATTCAAGGCTTAGGATATCTTCTTGTGCATTACACTTTACTACAGCAGGTAGAGTCCAAGATCTGGGGTAGAACTAAACCCCAGAGCCCCAGTCCTGGCACATCACAAGCTTAGAGGGAGGCAATTTCCTCTAAATTGTATGTACCAAGGCAATTTCCCCCCAGTGGCTCTAAGATAGCTGCTTGCTAATGTGAGTGCTTTCTTTATGGGAAAATTAAGATAGCTGAGTTCTCCAGGTACATGCTCAAATACCTGGAGAACTCGGGTAGCTTAACTCCATGGGATGCTCCATTCTTCAATTGGAAAATGGGAATAGTAATTTGTATATTAGGGCTTTTAATATTTGTTGCAATGGAAAAGGGTTAAACAGAACCAATTACTGTGATTTAGGTATAGACCTGATTTCTGACAGGACTTAAGACTTTTCAAGACTTTAATCAGCCCATGAACCTTTAGCAGTCATTACATACAGCCAAATGAAACCAGGCAGTTAACTAAGCTTTACTGCCATTCACTAGGATTATAACAGAATAAAATATCATGTGTGTGTTTTCTGTGGACAACTTAGAACAATTTGAGTTGTTGATTACTGGAATTGAGGGTAGAAGTTTTTTTTTCTTCTATTTCTTTTAATATGGTTTGAGCAATAAATAATAAATAACCTTTATTCATTCACTCATCAAATATTTATTGAACATCTACTATGTGCTAGGCACTGTTTTGAGTGATGCAAACACAGCAGTGAATTAGGCACACAAAAATCTCCATAGAGTTTACATTCTAGTGAGAAGACACAGACAATGAATAAATACATAACCAAAAGAAATAGTTTTATTTGTTGGTGAGAAGAGTTAAGAAAAAAATTGAAACAGGGAAAGTAGATTGCGAGTGCCACGATGCAACTGCAATTTTAGATGGGATGACCAGAGAAAGCTTCAGTGTGAAGGTGACATTTGAGTGGAGACTCGAAGGAGATAAGAAAGCAGATCACAGATATATGGGCAAGAGCATTACTTACTGACATAGGGAATAGCAAGTGCAAAGGGCCTGTGGCAGGTGAACGTCTGATTCAAACAATCACAAGGCGTTAATCTGGCTGGAGCAGAGTGAACAAGGGCGAGAGCAGTGAGTGAGACATCAAAGAGGTAATGGGGCTGCCTTCTGTTTGGCTATACAAAAATGTTGATGTTTACTCTGAGATGGGAAGTCATTGTTGGAAGGGTTTGAGCAGAGCAGTGATATGATTTGACTCTCCTTTAAAGATAATTTATTTGGTTATTGTGTTGGGAATAGACTATAGGGGACGAGAGTAGAAGCAGGAGACCAGGTGGGAGGCTATAGTGCAAATATTTATGTAAGAGATGACGATGGCTTAGATGGTATAGTGAAGGTAGTGATGTGTTTTGAAACTAGAGCTGACAGGATCTGCCCTCAGAATGGGTGTGAAGTCTGACAGAAAGTCAAAGATGAGCCCAAAGAATTTTGACCTGAGCACTGCAAGAACAAAGATGTCATTATTGAGATAGAAAAGCCTGGGAGACAAGTGGCTTTGGGATAGGGACAATCAAGAGCTCATTTTGGGACATGTTAAGTTTGAGAGGTCTCTTAAACATCTGAGTAGGATAAGGAGGAGACAGATATAAAAATCTGCAGTTCAGTGAAAGAGCCCAGCTAGAGTTACAAATTATGGAATCATTACTATAAACATTACCATGCTTACGTAGGGTAAATCGAATCCAATTTTTTAGGAAAAAAAAAAAAAAAAAAGAGAAAAATAGACACATGCTAAGATGTTCTTTTTTGTTTGTTTTTAATTTGGGGAGATAGCAGGTCGGTTTTCTTCCATTAAAGCTTCGTTAGAAACATTTATTAGATGCATGATCATCAATCAGACTTTTCCGTTAGAGCCTTTAATTCATTTAAATTAGCACTATGAGTAAAATAACATCACATTAAAGCTCTACTATTCTGTGGGTTAACGATCGCCTCACCTCATAGGATAATGTCTGTGCGTGAGGTGTGGCAGGAACAAGTTTCCTTTCTTTAAATTCCTGGAGGCAGTCATACACCTGCAGAAGGCAACAGTGCAAGAGCAGCATATTGACAACGTCACTGTTAACTTTTTGGATTTAAGGCTCTCCAAGGGGAGAAACAGCTCCGGCAAGTTTCCTTTTCCTTCCTTAATTCTCCAGTAAAAGTCCATTTGTAAAAATTCCAACTTCATCTCTGCTGACCCTTAGGAATTTTTTTTCACACCAGGATCTAAGATTGGGCCGAGTACACCAAGGCCTGCTTAGCTCCACAGCGCAGCCCTTACTCTTATATTCGAAATATAGTTTCTCTTAAGAATGCAGAAACGAGACCCAACAGACCAGCTCAGCCCCGCCTTCCTCCATCCAGATCTGGGATGATGGCACTTCCCTGCTTTACCTCAGTGCTAGGGCTCAAGTGTCCCTGGAAGCAATTAAGGCTGATGGATTGAGGAGGGCGTCCAAAGCACAGACAGCCTGCCCGTGGTGAGCAAGGGCAAGGCACTATAGTCACCATGCTGTACATTAGAGTTCTAGAACTTATTCATCTTAAAACTGGAAGTTTTTACGCATTTGCCAACCTCTCCTCATTTCTCTCACACTCCAGTCCCTGGCAACAACCATTTTACTCTGTTTCTATGAATTCTACTTTTTAAAATTCTACATATAAGTGAGAACATATAGCATTTGTGTTTCTCAGTATAGTTTTTTCACTTAGCATAATGCCTTCAAGGCCCATCCATATAAATGCAAGAGGGAGGATTTCCTTCCTTTTTAATGGCTGAATAATATTCCCTTGTATATCCCATTTCTGGGTATATATATAAAGAAAATGAAATCACCATTTCAAAGTGATATCTGTACGCCCATGTTCACTGCAGCATTATTCACAACAGCCAAGACACAGAAATAACCAAAGAGTCTATTGATGAACACATGAATAAAGAAATCAGGTGTTTTAAAACAAATGCTGAGTGGAGTGCTTCTGTGCTCATGCTCTTATTTTCAAAAATATAATATTAACATGTATCATAAGGCTGACAACATTTCACACTTAAGTGAAGAAAACGCCCACATCCCAAATATAACTTCAAAAAAAAGTATTCTTAATAATAACATTTGTTCAGGGGAACAAAATTATAGTCAGATAATAATGGAAGAGGAGGAGGAGGGAGGGGGAGGGGGAGAAGGAGGAGGAGGAGGGGAGGAGGAGGAAGAGGAGGAAGAAGAGGAAGAGGAGGAGGAGGAGGAGGAGAAATCTTCAAAGTAAGAAAAACTTAAGATTCCTAAACAGAACTGTAGATACCTCATTTTCTGATTTTAAAAAACAAAGAGGAATGGGTTTTTAGAAGCTTTTTTATTTGTCCTGAGTTGGCTGCTAAGGCTGATGGCCATTTGTGGTGGCTGCTTTGGGATCCCAGGGGCCTCAGGGAGAAAAAAAAAAGGAGCAACCATAGTCTTTTCCACCTAACTTAATTCCTTCCTAAGCTAAGAGGTTTGCGTAGCTCGCTCTGAGAACTTTTTCCAAGTTGTTGTCCTGCCAGCCGACAGGCGATACTGTTGAGTAAGTAGTTCCTGCATCCACAGGAAGCAAAGGCTTCCAAGAATCAGGGCACTCACCTTCAGCAGAGCCCGAAGCCACGGGGAGTGGAGGAGATCGTACAGGAGACACACTCCATTCACATCTCGGCTGTAGAACAGATTCAGCTCTTGCAGCACAAGCCTCAGGATTTGGGAGAGACCTAGAAAAAAGAGAGAGCAGGGACCGGGTGGCAGGTGGGGGTGGAAAGAAAGGCAGGTGTAAATGTAAAAGACAAGTCAGCTGGGACATGTCACAGGGGCTCATGAGGAGTGGGGATGACACTGGATTTAAAAAGGATCAGCCTTCAAGCTCTATTCTGTCATTTGCTGTGAACTTCAGAAAGTCACCCAACTATCCGAAACTCAGTTTCTTTGTGGCAAAATGAGAATACACTAGCTTTCCCATAGGGTTGATGCTAACATGAGATGAAATAATAGATCACAGTATATAGATTTGAGATATTATGAGAATGATATCGCTCTCCCCTCTCTATCTTCCCAGCTTTTGGCTTATTCCAAAATCATCTAGTTGCTTTCTGGATCTTCCATCTCTAATTCGAACATAGAGTCATTTGTTCTTACCCTTTCTGAACATTTTATTGAAAGCATTACTGAAAAACTCTAACTTCCAGTAAGTTTTTAATATAAATCTCAGGATTCCACCGATTAAAGGAACTGAACAGATTTTAGTGAATGCTTGATTTTTTTTACAAGTGTTTTCATAGAAATTCTATTTGTTGCAGTGATATTTTGAATGAGAACAAGTTCTAAGTTTATATAAAACATTGTGGGGAAGGAAAAAAAGAGGTTCTGAATCCATTTTGTCAATTCCTTTCCTTTCTGCCTTGAAAATTGCTTAGACTTATCACTGATAGTTAGAGTAGGACAAGTGTATGACAAGTCCAAAAGTGTACGACACGTTTGTCATAGGAATCACAGTAAATCTATCAGAATGTATGCCCATTCATTTGGTCACACTTTCAAAGTGATATTATAAGAACCTTCTGGTCTAGAAAAAGAATTCTGGAGCCACATACCGTTCTCTGGGTTGGATGTCGTGGAAGGCTTCATGTCCTTCTTGTCTGGTGAACCTGCTCCTTCGTCTGACTGGATCATCTTCCCTGCCCGAGCTTCCAGAAAGAATTCAGAACTGGGGAGCAGATCGATAGGCAGCACAGAGCTCACTCAGTCATGCTGGCCAAGCGCTTTTAGCACACTGAAATATAGTTTCAACAGCATTTAGTGAGCATGTCAGGCACTGTGCTACACACTGAGAGTCACATCAGACAAAACACAGTTGCTCTGAGGCATTTACTCATTAGCCATTCACCAGCTGTGTGAAAACTGCTTTTTTTATAAAACACTCCCTCTACGCACACCACCCCCCACAAACACCGCTCTTTTTAATAAGTGATAATATTAGATTTGTTTATTTCCCACCTCTTTGCCTAGTTGATTTCATCATCATTCAGAGCTCAGCAGAGCCTTCCCCGGTCTGACTGTACTCAGGTGCCCCGTTACCTCTCGTTGCTCCCTAGAGTCCTTCATGGCACTGATCACAACGGCATGTGTTACTGCTGAGGCACACTCTCAGAGCTTATTTTCTATATCACTTTAGGTAGGTTTAATTTCAAGAAACAGAAACTCCAAATGATAGTGGCTTAACGGGATAGAAGTTCGTATTTTGCTCGTGTAAAAATCCAGAGGCAGAGACAATCCAGAGCTGGTAGTGCAGCCTTGCTCCAGGAAGTTCTCACAGAAGGGGTTCTTTCCCTCACTGCCCCATCACCCTGGCGTGGTGTGCTTCTCCTCTTCCTGCTCCGAGGCAGTGGCTGGAGCTCCAGCCATCATTTCTACGTTTCAGCCAGCAGGATAGGGGAAGGGTTTAAGGATATGAGGGCAAAGGGAATACACCCACTGCTTATTGAGGAAGTTTACTGGAAGTTGCCCTACACAATGAAGAGTCACCTAGTGTCCTTCCTGTATAAGCTTCAAATGTCCCACTGGACTTTTCATGTTGCTGGAAAAAAATTATAATTATCTGAGCCTAGAACCCAACTTTTCTTTACATATAAAAAGTATTTTTGCATAGTTTTAATACACATTGAATTTTCTAGAATGCTACTACCACAATTGAGGAATGAATTTACTCTGTTTTGCCTGGACTTTAGCGAGTTGCTCACCATTTCAGAAAAGCATGTCATTCATGGTAACACTACTCGCAGGATTTAGGGGGTCACTACAGCACATCACCATTAGGCTGTATCTGCATTCAAAGCTGCTGCATATCCCTAGTCATCTTTTTGTAGGTGCAACTGTGTTATTTCACTATATCTTTTGGTGTAGTGATATCTCATATCTATGTATTAAAATATGAAGTCTTATCGACTACATTTATTTAATTTCTCCTTTTATGTACGTGGATATTTTTGAAGTTTTGTGTAGGTAAGTATCTTAGTTTGGTTGCCCCCAGAATCAGACACAGAGCAAAGATTCCAGGGAGGTCATTTGTTTGGAAAGTAATCCCAAGAAATGCCAGTAGAGATGTGGAGTACTAAGATAGGGCAGGGTCGGGGTAAACCAGCAAAATGTGTATCAAGCAAGTAAGCACTATAGGCAGCTAGAGCTTAATCTTATGAGGGAACCAGGGACGAGGGCGTGGGGGTATCTACACACCAGTGCTGCCAGTCACTGGTTGAAGGCTGTTCCCAGAGAGCATTACTTCTGGTACTTTCAGCCAGCTACGTGCATCTATCAGAGAGTGCAGGTGCTAACAGTTTTAAGTTGGCTCACAGTGCACCAAGATTGTGAGGACCAAGGGGATATGGGTAGTGCACTGACAGCATTTATTAGGGTAGGAGAATAAAGAATTAATCCAGATTTTTTTTTACAGGAACATTTCAAATTATTTGTTAAAGGCTGGGGTATCGATTCTTACATGGTCGACGACTGTCTAGAATTTATAAAATTGTGGGGCGGAGCCAGGGATGCTATCTAGAAAAAGACAGATCATTATGATGTTGTCTCTAAAATCTAAGGCAGCGAGAAGAGCAACACAAAAAGCTGTCATAGAATTTTAGGCAACTTTCCCATCAACATTCTTTTCCAGGCACACCGAAGAATTCTAGTTTGCTAGATTCTACCCAAACTTGGTATCATGTTTTTGCCTTGCCCACCAACACCCACCCTGCTCAGCCCCTACTGAGTCAGATTACATCCTGCCTTTTCCTGTGTTCCAATTTCTGAGCCTCTATTAACTCACTTAGCACAACAGTTGCATGTATGATTCATCTTCCTCTCCATAAAGGATAACTTCCAGGACAGGAAATTTAAAAGGGAGATGGAGTGTTTGACAAAGTCAGAGCAGATGGGTCTGACCCCAAGTCATCATATTCAGGCAACCTCTTAAATCTGGTACCCAAAGGGGGCTGTACAGATTAAACAAGCCAGCTGCTGTTCTTGCATCATGAGGCAGGCCACATTTCTTTCATATTTAATGCCCAAATGAGTGTGCCAAGAAGGCCTATCCATGCAGCCGATGGGGTGTCTAGGTTCCTGAGATGAACTTATTGTGAGCGAGCTTTACAAATAGATTGTGGTTTCTACAGTGAATGTTGAGTGTTAAAATAGCTTCTAATAAACCTATCACCAACTCCTGGGCTACACAGATAACTCATTCATGTATTCTGAAAAGCTCATTTTGACTACAGTTTCTCAGTCATAGAGGCATAATTAGTCATTTTCATCTTCACGACTTGCGTAAATTCTAACAACTGTCCTTGCTGGGTGATCCTCAGGGTTCTGTGACTAATTTGCTATGGACTGAATTATGTCCACCAGATTCCTATGTAGAAGCCTTACCCCTAGGGTGATGGTATCTGGAGATGTAGACTTGGAGAAGTAATTAGGTTGGCTGAGGTCATGCAGGTGGGACTCTCATGATGGCAGCAGTGCCCTTAGCAGGAACACCAGAGTTCTCCTCTCTCCCTCTCCCCATCTCTCTCTGCCATGTGAGGACAAAGGAGGCAGTCTTAGAACCAGGAAGAGTCCTCACTAGAACCTGACTATGCTAGTACTCTGATCTCAGACTTCCAGCCTCCAGAACTGTGAAAAAATACATTTCTGTTGTTTAAGCCACCTAGTCCCTGGTATTTTGTTATAGCAGCCCAAGCTAAGACAAAAATTCATTAAAAACCCCAGAAAATGATTTTACCTTCCTCCTTCCAGGTAGCTAAGAAAACCATTGTGATTTATTGTCTTTAGAGCATTCACCATGCTTCGCAAGTCTCTTACGCATTAACCCATTCAGTGTCCAGCTCCTATGTGGGTCACACCTTAGAGGAGCAGAGTAGACACCTTGCTTGTGCTGTTCACTGCTGTGGCCTCAGCAGCTCTTACAGTGCTTGGGATATAGCAAGCACTTGGTATTCCCAGGTTTGCTGGGAAGCATAAAACAGGAAGCTAAGAAATGGAAGCAAAAGGCTGATACCTCCTGCCAGGAGTTCGAGCAGCTGGAACTTCAATCCTGAGGTTGGAGGCAGCTGAGCTCCAGAGACTTGTGCCCCTCCTCTCCTCCTCCGCCTGCTTATACTGACCTCAACCTTCTTCCCTATCAAACTTTGAAATCCGAGGCTGAAGGAGACCTCAGAAATAATCAAAAGCAACCTGCATTTTACAGGTAGGGAATCTGACACTCAAAGAGGTAGTAAAAGCAGAAGTTTTCCTCCTTAGTTTCCAGTATTAGTCCTGAAGATGCTAGTGCCTGGCAGAAGACTGTGATGTCACTTACTTGTCTTCCTTTTCGTGACTTCTCAACCAATTTTTTTCACTTGAGACTCACTTGTTTTTGCCATCTTGAGAATGAAAATTCTTGATTGAGACTGTTAAGTTAAATAGCCGAACACCTGCAATTCTGGGCTAAGTAACAGGAAAGATAGCTGGTTCTATCATCAGCCTAGAAACTGCATTAGTGTTACTGACTCCCGAGTTTGCCCTAACCGTTATTTTAAAGGTCAGTGTTTCCATGAACAATTAAAAATGTGATTACTATTAAATACCACACCTTCTATCCCGATTATGCTTTTTCAAATTAATGCTATAGGACAAAGTCTAAAAAGCTCTTGAAAACTTAATGAGAAATGGCCTGTACAAAAATGGCTGGCTTCCACGGGGTCAAAATGCTGATTAGGACTAGGACACTCGATTTAATCAATTTCCATGACAACTCATTGTTCCATACCTTAAAAATGGCTTCTTGGGTACAAGATTTATTGGTGATCACTTTGTAGGTTGTATAGACATCGCTATGTTGTACACCTGAAATGAATATAATATTGTATATCAACTGTAATTGAAAAATAAAAAATTATTTTAAAAAATGGCTTTTTAAAGCAAATCCTTTTAAAATTATAAAATTCTCCATATAATTTAGATTACAATGAAACTAAACCATTTAAATCAGTTTGCCCAGAATTATGTCTTCAGCTATTAAACATTGGCAGAAGGGCAGACATTTATAGAGCTCTCTGGTAGCGGAGGGTCATTTGGCAGGGGCTCTTACCTGCAAGACTGTAAACATGTGATGTTGCTCCTGTCCAGAGAAAAGCTCCAGTAGGAAACACTAGTGGGCTATTAGCTGCCAAAGTCACCTCACACCGTTGCAGATAAAATCCCTGCACATCCTCTTTGATTTAATCCACAGAAGCCTAACCCAGCCTAACCGCTAAATAACTCACAAGCCTCTCCTGTCACAAATCTTAAGTATTTTTGCACTGAAGATTGGTAATTATATCATTTTCAACCTTCACTTTAGTATTTTCTCTCTCAAATTGCCAGCACATAATTAACAGTTAATATTAGACTAATATTTTTTGTTGACTATTTCAGGACAACAGCCACACCATAACAGAAGATAGCATTCTTAATGAAAGGAAAAGCTAGAGATACCTGAGAGTAAGCCGATCTATTAACCTTACTAATTTTCTACCTTTATAATAAGAAAGGGATGGAAGACTCTTCAGCCAATAACCATCATGAGGCCTATAACAAATGGTTTCCTTCTGGAAGGTCCCCTACCAAGCCAGTGTTCTGAACTTAACAGTTCATTCTCTCTCAGACTGGAGCTACGTATTTCTTTGCAAATTTTATATTACAAGGAGAGGTCAGTGGGAAGAATGTCTGAAAGTCCGTATCACAGAAAGTACAAGAGAAAGGTACTGCTTACAGCGAAGCAAAGGGTAAAGACCAAGTAACAATTATAAGTTTATCCGCCCTTTCATCCTAAATTAAACATATGGCTTCGCTCTCCACTGTAGATGAAAATCCAAGCTGGGAATGTGATACATTTGCAACTGTTTCAAGTACAACATGTTTTATCAAAAGCACTAAATTTTATTGAAAGTTTTCATTTTCAACTCATTTTTTACTTTGTAAACTTTTAAGGCATAACCCAGCTATGAAATGACATCGACGGCTGTAGTAGCAAAGAGCCCTGAGATTAAGGTAGGAAGTCCTGGGTTGGAGTCCTCGCCCTAATAGAAAGCAAATCACGGCCACTCCACGTCTGAGAAACAGGGATCAGCGGGGTTAAATACCTGCCTCACTGGGCTGCTGTGAGCATTCATCATGTGTGAGAGATCTTTGTAAATTGCTGCATGGATGCTCAGTATTCCTATTTACAGACATTGGTCTGGAGATTTGGGTTTTTTTCCCCCAACAGAATTGAAATATTATAATTTTAATATGCTACCAAAAAAAGCATAAATATAGTATGAAGAACTCAAGTAACTGCACATTTTCATTCACGACTCAAATAAAAGGATGAATTATAATTTTTTGGGGGGGGTGGCGAAATTGAGACAGCCTACCAGCATTTGAGTTTCTCAGTGGGTCTCAAATTTTTCTGTCCATTTTCACAATCGCCCTTGTCTGTCTCTCTCAAAGGGTCAAAGGCATTCAGTACATTTGTCTTTACAAGGGAAATGTGGAACTTGTGTTTATTCAAAAGTCAAAACACTCCTAATGGAAATGCAAAGTGATTAACATACACTAATCTGTAAGTACTGGTCTCTTCCCAACAAAAGGCAGGCAAATTCTAGTAGAAAGCAGCAGCAGGATAAAAGGTTTCTCGAGAAGAAATTACAGGAAAATAATTATCTAAGGCCTAATATTTCTAACCAGAATTTTAAATCCTCATTCTTCTTTCCCTGAATCCGTTCAGGAGAAAAAAAAAACTATCAAAATATGCCTTTTATTCAAAGAAATAATAATTTAAGGCCTTTGTCCTTGTGTTATTAGAATCAGAAAATTAATTTGTTCTTTGCCCCCAAGCATGCTGTAAGTTGATGTTTATTTTAAAGAGGTCTCTAAAACCTTAGAGAGACCTCTGAGGCAAATATAAAGAGGTGTGGATTACAATGTGGGCAAAAAAAAATACTAAGCCTAGATTTCTTTTGAATTTTTGGGCTTCCCTGTGTCATTTCTTTCACAATCAAAACAATCTCATAAAGATGGATGTTTTTTATTAAGAAAATTGCTGTTACATTACAGCCAACATTCCCAAACAATATTTTAATAAACACTTGTCCTGATTATAAAGTTGAGCAGAAACCATGATCCTTTTTCCAAATTGATTAACATCTGCCGACGTTAACATAAATCAGGAGGACACTCCGTGCGCTCACCATTGTGTGTGGGAGATGAAGAGCACCTATGTTATTCAAAATACCTACTAGTGTTACTTGTACAGTATAAATCAACCGCTTACAACAGGATATTAAAAAAAAAAAAAAGCAAGACACTAAAATGTGGAAGTGTCACAATACTTTGAATGGGAAAAGCCAAAGCTTATTCCTTTTCTCTTCCCCTCTGTGAGTTCAATGCGAGGTATAGGGAAGAATCACAACAATAGATCAAGGGTGGATGCAGTTCTTTGCTTCTGTATGTCCCAGTCTTTTGTCCTGCTCCAAAACACAGCCTGCATGCAAAAGCTCTCAGGCTCTCATTCACAGGCCTCGGGACACAGCGTTTGCACGTGGACAAAGGAGGCTCCACAGCAGCTCAGAGTCAGTGTTTGAATTCCAGTGTATTCATTCTGTAGAACCGTGAGGAAACCAAGAACAAAATTCCTATGTTCTTTTAACCAGGAGGCAGAATACTCCTATTCAGACGTGTTCCATGTTTGGGGTTAGGATGTGGCTGTCACTACACTGAACCTCTCCCATCATGAATACCCTGGTGGAAAAGCTTAGAAAAAGTTAAAACTGCAGTTTAAAAGTTCCTCTTCCCCGCCCCTCAGCAAAGAAGCATGATGCATACGACTGCAAGGAATTTAGGAAGGCATAGTGCGGCCACTGTAGTTTCAAGTGCAATCTGCTCCCTGCAAAGGGGTCTGGGGGTAACTAACTGCAGGCAAACCAGAAACTCAAAAATATCCATCAACTTGTTTAATGTAAGAAGCTATACTGAGAACTAGTCTTACAACACCGTGTAGCTGGCATGCCTTTTACTGTAGGAAGGGATATCTTCTTTTTTCAAACAGTGGGCTTTATGGTATTTTGGGAACTTAATGTAGACCAGAGACTGGTCTAATCTGATTTCTACCTCCTTTTTAATCCTCCTTTCCAACTGTATAGTTTTGTTTTGTTTTTTTCTGGGCTCGGGGCTCTGGTAAGACTCAGAAATAATAACCAAAATATAACACAACGTTCTAATTTCAAGACTGTTCTTTTCTGCCACTGCAGGAAGACGCCAGATGGTGCTATAACAGATACTCTGTATAGGTAATCCAGTTGTCAAGCTGTTTTGCAGCCTAGTTAAGCTTCTCACGCTGGATCTGATAGTAACATGCCTGAAAAAGTTAAAAACAATTTCAAATTTACTTTGAAAGAAATTACATAAGCATAACAACGCACATGGGATTGAAAAAGGAAATCCCTTAATAATTCTGACAGCCCAACAAAATCAGTTGCTTTCATTTTTCCCTGTTTTCTTCCAGTCCCCCTATCTAATGTCTATTTTGCCTAGTTGTAAATAAGACAAATTTTTGTACATTGCCCTCTAAAATAAAAACTTTTAAAAAGCTGTTTAATATTCTATGCTAAGTATAAATACCATATTTTGCTAAACCACTATTTACTTATTGGACATTTAGAGTGTGCTGATTGTTACAAGGTATACCAACGACTGTAAACAGAATCATCTAGTATGTTTGATAAACATAAAGATTAAGCATCTTTTCAGAGTCAGAATTTCTGGGAATGTATTTTTAAGAATACATTTTTCAGAATCCCAGGTGATTCTGAAAATGTCCGTGCTTGAGAGTTACACTATAAAGAACACCTCATCCAAACAATGTAGAGTGTTTTCCGCTCTTTAACTAGGATATGCTCTTTAACAGGACTACTCAAGACTCCACAATAATTTTTGATGTTGGTGACATCAATATTAATAACAACTGTTTTCCAAAAAGGTCATTGCTATTTAATCCAGTACCAGCAATGTGGGAATAATACTGATTTCACTATAACCCCACCAGAACTGGGTAAATTTTAAAACACTTTTGGTAATTTAGCAGGTTCAAAATGGCACCTTGTTTAAATGTGCAATATTATTATTTTCAGTAATGCTGAGCATGTTCCTACATATAGGTGTATTAATTCAGCTTTTTCCTTGGTGATATGTTTAGATATGGTCTTCAATAACATAAATGCTTAATAATACAAGTCACTGGTGGTCAGTATTTTCCCCAGTTCTCCCCATCTTTTCAGTTTATTTAATAGAAATGTTAATGGTATTAAGTTGAAAAGTTTAAAAAAAATAAACCCAAGCCAGAAACCCGACATTAATTCTAGTTTTCTTTTCTTTTCTTTTCATTTTAGATTGTCTGTCTTTTCTGATCTTTCTTTTTCTATATTTGAACCCTAAAGAATCTGTAATTTGCAATGTGGGTGATTCCATTGTGATTCCACTCTCCTTCCAAAATTCCTAATAAGCTATTGTGATACTTTGACCATTTATTAAATAATTGCTCTTTTCCATTTTTGTGTCTGGTGATTCCATTTTCATATGTGAAATTTTCATTATAATAATTGTCTACATGAGAGCTATCCCTTCTGTTTAGGTATCTGTCTATTCCTGTGACAGCAATATATTATCTTAATTACTGTAATTTTATAATATTTTACTAACTGACAGGGTGTGTCTATTCTCCCTCTTGTTTTGGAAGTGTTTTTATTATTTTCTATTTATTGTTCTTCCACATAAACTTCAGAATTATTCTTCCAAAGAAAAATCGAGGTGAGAGGACAGAAATGACATACAACAATCC